GGGCAAAGACCGTGTCTCATTTATCTTTGTATTTCTATTATTTAACTCAGTATTAGCAAATTCTCATTATGTAGTTATTGAGTTAATAAAACAACATAAATTGGGGTTGTTTATACTGAAAGATCTGGCAATTTTCCTAAGGACCCTCCTTGGTTTTTCATGATTCATGATTGATATTCTCTTTTAAACATTGCTCTGCTCCTCTCCTCGTCTAAGTGAAAGGTAAGGGAACAGAGAATAAGAACATTCAAGATAGTCCTGGCTGGGTGGCTCAGTTTGTTGGAGTGTCATCACATGCACCAAAAAGGTTGCGGGTTTGATCCCTAGTTGGGGCATCTATGGGAGGCAACTGATTGATGTTTCTCTCTTACATGGATGTTTCTCTCTCTCCCACCGTTCTTCTCTCTCTAAAATCAGTATACATATCCTCAGGTAAAAATTAAGAAAGAAAAGAATATTTAAGACATTGTTGATGGTTGACAATTACAGCTGAAATCTGCTTGGATTCTGCACCCAAACTGAGATGTTCCAGGCAGGGTGTCCAGCCTGTGGCCTGTGGGCTGCATGGGTCCCGGCATGGCTATGAATGAGGCCCAACAAAAAGTTGAAAATTTACTTAAAACATTAAAAGGTTTTTTGTGATTATGTGTTGCGATGCATTTAATGTGTGGCCCAAGATGACTCTTCTACCAGTCTGGCCCAGAGATGCCAAAAGTTTGGACAACCCCTGTTCCAGAGTGTTTTCCTGACTGTCAGCACTACTGGAGGAAGCCTTTCATGTCATCCCCCTGAAGGCAAATTAATCCATTGCATCTTAGGTAGTTAAACAGTTCAATGGCTGAACTTATGCTCACCATCAATTTGGTTTTACTCTCTACTCATCCCACCAAATACATGGATGTTTCTCTCTGTCTGTCTGTCTCTCTCCCCTTCCCCTCTCTCTAAAAGCAATAAAAAAAATGTCCTCAGGTGAGAATTAAAAAAAGAATGTATGCCTTCTTTTTAATTATTTATTTTAGGTTTGGGTTATGTAAGGGACAAAATTTTTTTTTGAAAAATCCTTTTGCTCTCAAATCCTATTATAAGTAATAAAACATTACCCAATGGGATTCAGAGGATGATAGTACAATGGTTAGTAATACTGATGTTGAACACTCAACATAGATCAGGTACTGTCTTAGTGCCTTAAGTGGAGTATCCTGTTTAATTTTCACAGCAGCTCTGGGAAGGGACGGCATTATTCTCCTATTTTACAGAGGAGCAGCGTAAACAAGCTGAGCAACCTGCCAGCGTCATACGGCTGTGAAAGATCACAGCCTGGACTGGGATCCAGGCATCCTGACTCTGGAGCTCGCGTTCATAATTATTACAGTTGTGGAGGGCATAATTTAACCCTAAATTTCTGTTCTGCCTGAAAATCAGATGTTTATCTGCCTGCCATAGTCTTATAGTCCTTTTATACATATTGGATCTTTTTCCTTGAAATCATATCTCCTACTTCCACATGTTTTCCCCTCTCTCCACCCTCTCCCTCCCCATGCCACTGGGAAACTGCACTTTAATTCCCTTTTGCCTCCTTCTTTGGGACAATTTCATTACTGCTTCATGAGCCAGCGCACCGTGGATGTGTCTCATTACAGCCCCTCTCCTCGATCAAGCGCATTGGTGCTGAGATACAAGTATCCAGCTGGTGCTGAGTGTGAGCTGCTGTTGTTCTTTCTGCCACTCAAAGAATGGGGAGCTGTGTAATTCCAGATCAAAATGAGAGAATAAGTTATGCATTCATTTTCTAATTTTCTTTTAGAATAGGGCATAAATATATAGGCTGCATTAAGGGCAATGCTTATTTAATTAGGCAAGTAAAAGTTTGGGTGTTTGACCAAATCAATTAGATTTCAATGAAACAAAGAAAAACAAAAGCACACACATGATAAACACCAAATTCAAAAGATCTGCACTACTCGTTTCATCAGTGTTCACTTTTAATTTTATATTATGGATGCTCTGTTATAGAAAAATGATATATTTTGAAATGCACTTCTCTTAGTAAATTTGTAGAAAACTTCAGTTGTTTCTATCAGTCTTGTGATTATAATGATTATTACATATTGAGTATGGAACTATGAAGGTTTTGATATTAAAATCAATATTGTCTTACAGAAGACTGGCTTTATCATCATACAGAGAGAATCAGTGGAAAGCTTTATGTTTTTTTCTTTAAGAAAATGTTACGTTTCTATGCATTGTCCCCTTCTCCAAAGAGCATTTCCCTCTCAATATTATCCTTTTAGGACTTAATATTTAGTTCCTGTTAAAAAAATGGATGTAGATAAAGCAAACATTTTGCTATTCTTATAGTCACCTGCTCCTTGAGTGTGATCCATTTCTTGAATGATGTTTTGGCGTGAAGAGAATCTATAAACAGAAAAGCATTCAGGTGCTGGGGAAAAGAGGAGAGGAGAATTCAAGAGTTGAGCAGAAGTGAAGTGGAAGTATCTAGAGCTAAAAGAGTTGACAGCAAAGACAATCTGTCGATTCTCAGTATTTGCCCCAAGATCAATCATGGCTCATCTGAAAACCACCTCTGATTCCACACAAGGGAATTTGTCCCTTTTGGTTAGGTGACATTTTTAAGAGTCCTGAAAGTGACTGTGCACGAAGCATGTCTGTGCTTCCCCTAGATGTGACCCCACCCCACCGTAATCTGTCCACTATTTCTGAGCCTCATCCTGTCACTAGGATCTGTTTTGCTGTTGGTCATGTTTGTCTTTCCTTCACTAACTTCTGTGCACCAGAGCCTCTGGATTTTTCTACGAGGGCACTGCTGTTGCCTTTGCATCACAGCATCTGCAACTGGACCCAGGCTGGGAGCCCAAAATAGTTGACATAGCTTTTTGTATTAGCCTCCTACTCTTTTAGTTTTGTTTTTTCAGGGTGCAGTCATGAGACATAAACCCACGATAAACCTCATTTTCTTTCAGCAGCAATGCATTTATATGGAGCTAAACTTAAGGATTTCTTGAGCTCAGCATTAATGGAAGAGAACAGCTTTGGCTGGTATTTTTTCCCCAGGTGGGACTTACCACTCACGTTGCCTCAGTTTGAACTGGGGAGAGAAGAGACTGCTTGCTAGCTGGTAGCTGGTAGTAAAGAGCTCAATGACCCTAAAGGATTTCTGAATAGGCGAGATTACAAGATCTAAGTGACTTTGTTTTAGCTTAGGTTGCCAAGGTCCCCTGCATGTGGGAACCATCCCATGCAGGTTCTCAGTACTTGACTGTATTCCAGCACAAAACTACTCTCAGGCTAGACCTCCATGTATATCATTTGGTTGCCTTCTTTCTCTAATTATCTTCACATGTCAGCTGGGGATTCATAAAAATAGCTAAATTTAATTGAGCCACTCCCATGTGCCAGCCACTGTTTTAAAGGTTTTACATGTCTTAGGTCACTCAGTCCTCACAGTGACCCTATGAAGTAGGCATCAGTGTTACCCTCACTTGGCCAAAGGCATGCCACTTGGCAGTGGCAGGCTAAGTGCAGATCTCAGGGAGACTGGCTCTGAAGGTCATGCTCTCTCTCCCTAGGGGTGAGGATAGTGTCCTCTTAGCACAAATGACTGCGTGAAAGTCTAGTCTCAGGCCAGAGTTGTATGCTAAAGGAGGCCCGTAGGATACAGATTTAATTCTTACTCAGCCTGAATTCAAAACGTTCTCCAGGAATGACCTCTCATTTTGAGACCAGTTTGGAAGGAGACTAGAGAGCCCAGTGAGGCTGCTGAGTGGTAGTGAGGCTCAGGTCTGAGGCAGGATTCAGAATTGGTTCTGAAGGCGTCTGGCAATAGAGGCTTATTGTGAAACTTAGCTTCTTAATGGTCAGCTGTGGGGAACTCCCTTCAACAGCCTTAAAGGAGAACAGCCCATCCATATCTTAAAGACTTTATTTGTATTGTCCAGTTTGGTTCCTGTGAGTCCTGACTCTGTCCCCTCCTGTCCTTGAGCCCTCCATGTGAGGACCAGAAATCACTGCTTTAACTTTAGGCCAATGAGGCCATTATGGACATGCATTTATTTCCTTACATAGGGGCTGCTATAAAGACAATGCTTACGGAATTGCGCAAGTACAGATGTGGCTGTTTGATGAATCAGTTAGATTCAGAGTTTCTCTGAAACCCTGGGCTGGCTGGGGATCTTGTTCTTTCTAAAGAGGCAATAATGGGGTCCCAGGAGAATAATTGCTGGATGTGACCCTCCCAGTCTAACCTGAATCTCTGTTATTGACCACATGTTTTTTTGTTTGTTTGTTTATTTTTGCTTCTCTACTTTGACAATGATGTAGAAGGCATTGTGTAGTAGATGTCTTCACTTATGTCCCTCTTCCTAGACCACACGTTCAAACCCTTAAGATAAAAATTCTGTCTTATATAATTTGGTCCTTACTTGTAATAGGTGATAATAAGCATGCTATTTTGTTTTGACCAGTTAAAGTGTGCTAGAGACTCTTTGCACAAGTATTAGCTTTCTAGCGTGATCGTGCATGGACTGATGAACCTCTGTGGGATGTTGGTTGATGCATTTCAGAGAGCCATACAGTTCAAAGCTTATAGTAATTTTGAACTAGAAAAATAACATCATGAATTATAGTTTTATTTTAAAGGTGTTTAGATTTTGGTGCTGAGAAATAATTACTTTAGCTGGATTTGTGTTTGAATTCACTTTGCTTCATTCATGTTAGATGGCCTTTCACTCCTCAAAGTCAATTTTCTACAGTCTTTCAGTCATGTTTTGTGGGGTTTTTTAATCCACCTACACCTCCTCTCTCCCATCATTATGTAAAAATAGAAGTGGTATTTTGTTACATACTAATAAATATTGTCCAGATGCTAAAGGCACTTTAAGAAGTGTCATCATCTAACTGAGTCTCTTTGAAACGGCTTTGATCTGTGTGTGGAATGTTCCCAGATACAGAGATGTAAATGCCATTTTCTGTTCTGTTTTCAGGTCACATGTGCCAATTTAACAAATGGTGGAAAGTCAGAACTTCTAAGATCAGGAAGCAGCAAGTCCACACTAAAGCACATATGGACAGAAAGCAGCAAAGACTTGTCTATCAGCCGACTCCTGTCACAGACTTTTCGTGGCAAAGAAAATGACACAGATTTAGACCTGCGATATGACACCCCAGAACCTTATTCTGAGCAAGATCTCTGGGACTGGCTGAGGAACTCCACAGACCTTCAAGAGCCTCGGCCCAGGGCCAAGCGAAGGCCCATCGTTAAGACGGGCAAGTTTAAGAAAATGTTTGGATGGGGTGATTTTCATTCCAACATCAAAACAGTGAAGCTAAACCTATTGATAACTGGGAAAATTGTAGATCATGGCAATGGGACGTTCAGTGTTTATTTCAGACATAATTCCACTGGTCAAGGGAATGTATCCGTCAGCTTGGTGCCCCCGACAAAAATAGTGGAATTCGACTTGGCACAACAAACCGTGATTGATGCCAAAGATTCCAAGTCCTTTAACTGTCGCATTGAGTATGAAAAGGTTGACAAGGCTACCAAGAACACACTCTGCAATTACGACCCTTCAAAAACCTGTTACCAGGAGCAGACCCAAAGTCATGTGTCCTGGCTCTGCTCCAAGCCCTTCAAGGTGATCTGTATTTACATTTCTTTTTATAGTACAGATTATAAACTAGTACAGAAAGTGTGCCCCGACTACAACTACCACAGCGACACACCTTACTTCCCCTCCGGATGATGATGAACGTGAGCTCGAGACTGAAGCCTGAGGAATTCTAGGTCACATGACAGGGCCGTTACCTCAAAGAAGAAGGTCACATCTGTTGCCTGGAATGTGTCTACACTGCTGCTCTTGTCAACTGGATGCAAACACGCTAGTGGAAAACAATCTGATGTAACTCTGCCCAGTCAGCTCCATCTCTCGGTGTCATTGTAAATCACAGATTTTAAAGCCACACTCGAAGACATGCTTTCACACATAGATGTACACAGACACACACTTACACACATTTCAGCTTGCATCTGTCATGATTCCTGTCGAGAGGGCTTTCATTGTCTGACTCATAATGGTTCAGGATAAAAACATCATCAAGCAAAAGGATTAACTAGACAGTGAATGGTTTCTAACCCTTGCTGTTGTGGAAATCTCTTTTAAAGTCTTGAGTACATGCTAATCAATAGTCCCCACTCATGCATTCCTACTGCTTGGAGTAGCTGTGCTGGTCAATACTACCGTAGGAGTATATGCTTGTTCACATGGAAACAATATGTCTTTAGAGTTCAGTATCCTTTATTTTATGAACAACAACAAAGTGTAGTAACTTTTTTTCCAGCATACAGTAGGCACATTCAAGGTGATACGAGATGGCTCTTTTTTTCTATGGAGGGAGCCTGTTCTCAGTAAAGATGAGCAAACATTTGGAATTTACATGTGGGCAGACACTGGATTACAGCACTCATCATCAACCTTTGGACTTCGGCAAAGTTGAGACCAGCGAAAGCTGCTTAAAACAAGTTCTGATCATTATGTAAGAAGGGAAATGCCTGACAGACACCGTGTAAGTTAGAAGTGTCTGTCTTATCTTTACTACACATATTGTAACAAATTCAATATCCTAGTCTTCATTTGTATGAATGGTTTGTATTGTATATAGTTTAACCAAGTGTTATTTGAGCTGCTTATTAATATTAACTTGTATTTGTCTCTCTGCCTGTTATTGGTTAAAAAAGAAAAAAAGGATATGAGGAATCCATTTTATCAATGTAGCTGTGAATTCCATTAAAAAAGAAACTTAATGTACAAAGCATTTATTCAGCTCAAGTATTGTTGAAAGCTATACATATACAACATTACAGTCTGTCTGTATTTAGATATTTTATTTCTGGACAAAATGAAATGTACATAAAAATAAAATGCTTAAAGTTGAGTTTCAATATGTACTTGTGTAAGATGATGATTTAAATGGTTCTGATAAGAAGAATGTGTTGGAAATACATTCACGATTTTGCATCTCATATCTCTAAATTTGTACAGGACTATATAAATTTCGATTAGTTGCCTGGTTAAAACAACTTAGGAGTTTCAATCTCAGTTCTGGAACACAGTTGCGGCATGCAGCATTGCACACAGTTTTGGTTTACTGTCAGGCCAGTTACTCAAGAACACCAGAAATCAATGACAATAAGAAGATAATCAAGGTCTCCTAAATTAATTGTAACTAGTTGGATTTTTTCTTGTATAGAGTCTTTATTTACCAGGAAAATTGAGAGAAAGGTGATTTTTTTTTCTTTAAAAAAACCCGAAGGTGTCTGGAGATTATGGCTGACCTTCTACTGTAATAACTCAACTGAGAAAATTACAATAGCAGTGGAAGACTTCAGCGCTCAATTTATCTGCACCAAGTGAGGTATACTTCTCTACATAGCACTGTTTATGGACATTAACCCTTCTTTGAAAAAGTAATTACTGTATACAATCCCAGCAAAATAAACAGAAGAAGAAATATGTAAGGTATCTCATTTTTAAATGCACAAATTGGGGATTAGGATCTGAAGAGCTTTAAAGGTCAACTAAAGAAGCCAAAAAAGAACACGAACACATTCTCATCGTCTCTTCATGCTGCATAGGGATAAATATGATTTCCTGTAGAAAATGAGAGTAGGTACTACAGGGAACTCCAAACCACAGAGTTTTTAAAGTGAGAACTCTGATTTAACTAACGAAAGCCTTCAAGAACAAATCAAAGACATGTCATCCTGTTAAATGTCCATCTCTCAAAATCCCCAATGTAACTAGACAACTATTTATATCAATGTATTAATTAACTTACCATGGGATTTAGAAGCAAAGTTCTCTGGCATGACGGGCAGTGAGAGCTTCATGAATTTCATCTCTGGGGCATACTGTCCACAGATAAATCTTGTTATTCTGGGGTTTATTTATCGGAGTGATGATATGTAGTTCTCTCTTAGCAGAAAGAGGAAAAACTGAGAGGGAAAAATAATTTTGGGGGGATCATTTGATCCGTGGACCATGATTTTCATTATGTGGTCAAATTTGTCCTTTTGTTATCCAAAATTCAAGATGAGATGAAAATATGCTTTAAGCTCCACTTGTCTGCACTGCTCTCCAACCTCCTTGTGAAGGTTATTTTACATTTTTACAAACATTCAGAACATAGATAACTAGCTAACATTCAATGAACTGAACTATTGTTCTGTAGTTTTTTCTTTAGAAGAAAAATAAGAAGAAAACATAGCAAACTTCCAATAAGGTTTTCAATTTTTAAAAGTCCAAACTTTCAGGACTTTGTTTTCTGGGTCTGTACACACTTATCCTGAACTCCTATGTATCAACACCTCCATCTGTAATACAGGAAAGCCATGATGATAGAAATCTTTGATTCAAAAGGCAATTTATTTGTATCCAGTATACTCTTCCTGGTTTAGACAAGGAGATGGGTTAAAGAAGATGATGAATAGGAAGGTTCAAAGATCTAGATTAAGAGCTTCACTAGGACAACTTGTTGTTTCAAGAAACTGGTTAAGTTTTCAGTATGCTAGAAAATTATTTGTTATTTGGCCAAAGTAAACTTTAAACTGCACTAAAGAAATCACCTTCTCTAGAATCTCAAATATGATTTCACACCTTAGCTAAGGTACAGAAAAAAACTTCAAGGTGGAAAGAGAAGACATCTGATGATATCTGATGTGAACATGGGTTTGTCATTGCCTATGATTTGTTTCAGAAACATTTTAGTAAGATTGGAAATATGAATAAATGATTATTGCAGCTTTTTGCCTCACGGAAGAAAAATGATACAAGTTATCGGTTTACCTATGGTAAAAACAATGAATTGTCATCGTACAGCTATAATGGGCGTTTTTGGGTCCACTGCACTTGTGGGAACTTCTCTGCATGAGTAAAAAAGATACAAACTGTTAATAGTTCAGCACTGAGGTTCTGAAAGTTACTACTCTGCAAGTGATTGAGATACTTGTTATATTTAAAATGCGGGCTGGGAATCTTCAGGTTCCTACATTTTAGCAATAAACTGTAAGCCATATTTTTGCACAGAATAGATTAAAAAATCATGAGAAGCCTGAGAAAGTGTTTGTCTTTTCCCTTTTTTTCCATTGCTTTACATGCAAGAAGAGCATAACCCACAGAAATAGCTCTTTGGAAAAGCATTTGCGTCTCCACCATCAACTCTGAGTGCCAAGTTTTAGCCTGAAGCAAATTCCAATGGCTGTATTTAGGAAACTTTGAAAGACTTGACTGATATACCAGTTTCGGACATTTATTAATATTTATTCAATTATCTATTTTATATTGATCTTGTTCATTTTATATAAATAAAATGCAAATCATTTGATGCATTCAAAAATTAAAAATTAAAAAACATTTTATTTGCATAAAAATAATTACTCTTTACCTAGTTTGTAAGTAACAAATATTGAGAACCTTAATAGCCAGAACTGAATCCTGAAAAACTGCTAGGTCAAGCTTTTCTCAGGAGTCCCATGCATATTGAATGATTTCAGGGGTTGGTAGCAGAAAGAAACAATCTTTCTTAATAAAAAATTGCAGTGTATCATTGTTTTTTATATTGGATTCTATCAGAAATATTTTGAAGTAACAAATTTATAATCACTTCTCTTTTTACTAGGATGGCCAAGAACAGAAATCCCATGAGAGAGTACTCGTTTCAATTTGTTTGTGCGAGCAAGGTCCAGAGAGACAGGCTAAAATTAGGAGCAGCTGGCCAAGTGTCCCAAGTTTGATCAAAAGCACTTTAATATTCATAGCTCTGCATTTGCAGGAATGTGCCTTTTATCATTGATGGATTGGAGAATGGCTCTAAAGGTCCCAGAAGTGATGGATGCAGATTTACAGACCTTCTATCAGTGGCTGTAGTGGCTGTTGCCACTGCAGTTTCTGTTGGAGGTGCCAGGTGTTGGTTCTCGCAAATTCTAACTGGCGAATTAGACATACAGCTAAAAAGATCTGTTGGCATCATACACTCCCCGTGGGTGCTAGCCTTCTATTTCCTAATTCTATGTCAGGCTTCCACAGAGACAACTAGAATGTTACTGCTTTCTAATGGTCAAATTCCTTGACTCAAGTACAGAAGTCAACTGTATTTGTATTTAAAGAAATAATGCAAGAAAGTTGTTAAAATGCTGCTGTTCCCAAATAAGTATTTTTAAAAAATAAATTATTTTTGTTACTGCTTAAGTTCATGCCATCAATTTTCTGAAAAGCAATTTTATTATCAAAATTATTTTTTTTGGCATTTTATAAAAAAGTTTTAAGTAGAAAGCATAGTCAAGTGATGTATCCTAAACAGGTTGAAAATATTTCATGGAATTTTTTAAAATTTAGTATAATTGACTTATAACACTATATTAATCTCAGGTATACCTGAGCATAACGATTAAATACTGTATGTTATGAAATGATCACCACAATAAGACTAGTTAACTTATGTCACCATACATAGTTAGGATATTTTTTTCTTGTGATGACCATTTTTAACTTTACTCTTTTAGCAAGTTTCAAATATGTAGTGCAGTGTTATAACCACCATATGTATATTACATTCCCATGACATTTTATAACTGGAAGTGTGTACCCTTTGACCTACATCCACCGATCTATTTTCTATATCTATGAGCTGGTTTTGTTTTGTTTTTAGATTCCACACATACCATATTTTTGGACCATAAGACACACCTACGTTTTAGAGGAGGAAAATAGGAAAAAAATTTTTGAAGTGGAAAATGTGGTAAAATATTTAATAATATAAATAACATGATATTTCACCAATGTAAATGTAAACAGAACTCAACAGCAGCATTAACAACCATTATTCCTCCCAAATTTGGGTGGAAAAAGTACATCTTATTGTCTGAAAAATATGGTAAGTGAGATTATGCAATATTTCTCTTTTTGATTTATTTTACTTAGCATAATACCTTCAAGTTCCATCCACCAATAACACAAGGAAATTGTTCTTGTAACAGAGAGAAAACCCAATTCTAGTTTTGCACCAGTATACTTTTGATATTAAAACTTCTTTTTACAAGCTAATTTTGGCAATACCATCCAGAAATAGAAAAATATCACATATTTATAATATGCATACCTAGATACACATAAACATACAGAGAGATGCAAACAAAAACCTTATAGTTTTCATTCTAAAATTTCAGCCATGAGTCAGGCACAATGTAAAACTCTCTAGTTTATGTAAGAACAGTTGGAACAAAATTGTGTTCAGATGGTCAAAGATTTTTATTAAAATTTTTTATTTGTATGCCATAAGGATTGATTTTGAGCTATTTTTCTTTCTTTTAAACATTTTTAGGGGAAGAAAGAAATGTGGTTTTATTGAACATTTTAATCCAATTCCTAGGGGTTGATGAAATACAATTTTATGAATTCTCGAAATCATCTGACATTTTAAAGCTGTTTTTCAAGTCATTTTGCCTTTTAGAAACTTCTGCATACCAATGAATGCTTTCTCCATTGCCACTGAGAGCTTTGAAAGTCACTCTCATTAACATTGCTCCTTCAGGTCGACTTAGATCTAAGTTAGTTTCCCCACAGTGGCCACTACAATTCCAAATTATCCATAAGTTTAATCATTCTTCAAAAAGGCATGAGACCCTGTCCACAGTGGATGTATGTATGGGGAGCAGGAGTTTTCCGTGGAAAGAGTTTCAGACCAGGTGGAACCCACCTTTTCCTACATTGAAATATGAGCTGGGGGTGTGTGTGTGTGTGTGTGTGTGTGTGTGTGTGTGTGTGTGTTCTCATTCTCTCTCTTAGATCACTCTGGGAGAAGCCAGCTGCCATATATTGAGGACCCTCACCTCAGGCAGCCTATAGAGAGGCCCAATTGGCTGTCCCACTGACTCTTTTTGCCAATAGCCAGAGAGGAATGAGCTGTTTCTTAAGAGCTGTTCCCAAACAGGGATCCACTTTCCCCTCTTTTGAATAGAAAAGAGTTACTTACCAAGAAGCTTCAACAAAAAATATGGGTATGCACAATCAAGTCAGAAAACTCAAAACTCAAAGAGGGTAGAACTCAGATCTAAGAGTGATTTGCTCTCAAATCCCAGAGTCAGATAGGAGGCAGTGAACTCAGTGGACTCTGGGGGTTCCAGCACCTTTTTGCTGACTGGCGTCAGAGTTGTTGTGGTCTTCTTTGGATTTTATTTTTGATGCCATGAACTGTCAAAAGTTTGGAAATAACATAAATGAAACCAATGCATCACAGAAAGCAGTGATTAACCAAAGTTTATTGTGCACACACCAAAAAACAGCTTGTAAAACTGGGATCACTCAAACCAAATGAGACTTACGGGTATGTTGCTATAAGCAGCTTACATAGTGAGAAAGCAGTGACTGTTTATTCTTTACGGTGATTGGATATTATACTCAAATTTTCTTAAGCGACAGGGAGTGGGTAGTGATTACTGCATATCAATTTTGGGAAAATTTGTTTTGTTTATGACTACTGGAGGTACATGCAAGAGATGATGCAGGTCAGCTTAGACTTGCAAAGTCTACTAAATTAAGCTTTGTATGACTACACTAGTTTTGTCTGCTTGGAAAGTTTCATGGTTAGTCTCCATTTTTGTTTTTTGTGTGTGTGTATTTTCAATTTTAATGCATTAAAAAACAAAGATGGCACCCGTTGTCACCTTCAGCATGGCAGAAACAGTGTGTGAAGTGGTGTCCACCAGCACCTGTCCCCCAGCAGGCCCCTGCTCCTCAGCCCCATGTTTTAAAATTAGCTAAAAAGCTTCTTTCACATGAAGTCTGGGGCCTTTGAAAAGGGCTGCTTCTCAGCTGAGCCTTGAGTCAGGCAGGTCAGCATTGGCCCTTTAAAAGCCCATCCTTGGTTCCCCACAATTCCACACGGGTCTCGTGGAAGGACCAGTCCTGCAAGCTTTCAAAGCTAGATGTCTGGGGGCTCATCTCTCAGGTGCAGGTCTTAAAAGTTGGGGTGTCTGATGTGCTATATGTACCCTTTGCTCCTCAGTAAGACACTCATGGTTTTGAGTGAGTCTCTTCCTGACTGTGGTGGAGTTTAAGGCAAGGCTGTGCCTCAGCCTCCCACATGTAGATGTGGGTTCCTGCTTGTGGATTCCATGTGGATTCCCTCTTGTTTGCCCAAGAGAAGGAGGGCCTCTGCTAGTTTTCAGTTTTTTTCAGAGGAAATTTCCCCATATGTAGTTAATACATTTGCATGGAAGGAGGTGACTTCAGGATCTTTTTCTGCCTTGCCATCTGAACCAGAACTTCCTTATGACCTCCTTAAAAAGAGGTAAGCAATTATTATTTTCTCTTACTACTCCCTTCACCTCAAAGAGAAAGGGGTGCAAGTCCTTTACAATGGCTAATGTTTACTGAACACTTAGGGATGAGCCCTTTAACTGTGCTGAGCTGTTTAATGCATGCCCCCATTTGGGCATCACAGCTTTATGCGATAAATGCTCTTATTCCGACCCTGTTGCAAAGAAGAGTCTGATGCTTGGAGATGGAAAGTGACTTACCTAACATAGCCAATCTCTTAAGTAATTTGTCTAGGAGTCAAATCCCAGTCCTGGGGCT